ATGCTTAGGGATTACTTGCACCATTCCAACCATCAACTCTATCTTTTCCCCCCTCCTTGTGAATCAATGCATCAAGTAAAGGTAGGGGTCTTCTCATATCTTCATTAGAAGCATGCTAATGTTTCTATTTTTGTCAAAGTGTGATCTTTAACTATTTTTGTAGTAGTGCCATTTTGTTTATTGATTAATATGCGATTAAAAGTAAGATTGGAATTTATGTAAACGATACAATTTAGGAAACAAAATAAATAAGGAAACAATATAAAAAAGGAAATGATACTAAATAAGGAAATAATGCAAAATATGACTTGAAGTAGATTAAACACCAAATCATTGACAGAAAACACCATAGCAGGAGATGAATCCTTTACCCACGTTGAAATTCTTACTTTTATAAGCTCACAGACTTATTTCATATTTGTCTGCACCCCATTAAACACAACATCTTTTCTGAATTTCCAAATAGACCACAAAATTCCAATTGGGGTGACATTCCAAATTCTTTATTCTAGGTTTTTCATTCGAGTCCCAGCCTAAAACTACAATAGACTCACCACTACATAGGACCTGGTGTCACTTGTGAAGTAAAATAGAGGGTTTTGATTGAGTTTTGAATGAATATTGAAGAACACTTTGAAGGTTTGGCGTGTTCTTGAGGCTTGGGGTTTACTTGCACCATTCCAACCGTCAACTCCTTGTGAATCAAAGCTTCAAGTAAAGGTAAGGGTCTTCTCACATCTTCATTAGAAGCATGGAAGGGTTTCTATTTTTAACTAATAGCATGATTCCAGAGTTAGTTTTGCATTCTTGAGTAGTTTTACATATGTCAATCCATGAAATTAATGCTTCATTAAAATCCATGTTTTGAATATATTAAGTTAAATTCATGTTCAAACTTTGTTTCGTGGTTAATAACTCATGTTTGAACTAAGTTGAGGTATCGCTACGAAACCTTGAAAATGGTTAGTGTTGCGTGATATTATAAACTTTGAGTACAATATTGTTAGCCTTCTATGAAATCAAAAAAAATGATTATTTAATTAATTTAGGATTTTCATGTCAAACATTAAAAAATATATTTTATGGCATATTAGAAGACTATTAGTATAAACAACATACAATCACACTTACTTAAAAAAATGTGATTGAAAAAAAGAAGACATAATCACACTTATTTAAAAAATGAGATTAAAAATAATTATAATCACGCTCACTCAAATTAATTGTGTTTAAAATATCAATCTGATTTTTTTTATCACACTTCCAATAAAAATGAGATAGTTTCATTTGTCAAAGTGTGAACTTTAACTATTTTTGTAGTAATGTCATTTTGTTTATTGATTAATATGTGATTAAAAGTAAGATTGGAGTTTATGGAGACGATACAATTTAGGAAACGATGTAAATAAGGAAACGTTATAAATAAAGGAATAATACTAAGTATGAAATATTGCAAAATCTGAGTTGATGAAGATTAAACACCAAATCATTGAAAGAAAACACCATAGCAGGAGATGAATCCTTTACCCACGTTGCAATTCTTACTTTTATAAGCTCACAGACTTCCTCCAGATTTGGCTGCACCACACTAAACACAACATCTTTTCTCAATTTCCAAATAGACCACGAAATTGCAATTGGGGTGGTATTCCAAATTCTTTATTCTAGCTTTTTCATACTGGTCCCAGCCCAAAACTACAGTAGCTCACCACTACCCAGGACATGGTGTCACTTGTGAGGTTAAATAGAGGGTTTTGATTGAGTTTTGAAAGAATATTGAAGAACACTTTGAAGGTTTGGCGTGTTCTTGATGCTTAGGGATTACTTGCACCATTCCAACCATCAACTCTATCTTTTCCCCCCTCCTTGTGAATCAATGCATCAAGTAAAGGTAGGGGTCTTCTCATATCTTCATTAGAAGCATGCTAATATTTCTATTTTTAACTAATAGCATGATCCCTGAGTTAGTTTTGTATTGATGAGTAGTTTTATATATTTCAATTCATGAAATTAATGCTCCATTAAAATCCATGTTTTGAATGTGTTAAGTTAAATTCCTTTTCATACTTTGTTACATGGTTAATAACTCATGATTGAACTAAGTAGAGATACCAGTATGAAACCTTCAAAAGGGTTAGTGTTGCCTGAATTTACAAACTTCGAGTACAATATTGCTAGCCTTCTTTGAAATAAAAATAAATGATTGTTTAATTAATTTAGGATTATCATGTCAAACATTAATAAATATATTTTATGGCATATTAGAAGACTATTAGTATAAACCACATACAATCACACTTAGAAAATGTGATTAAAAAAAAAAGAAAAGAAGAAGAAGAAGATATAATCACACTTATTTAAAAAATGAGACTAAAAATAATTATTATCACGCTCACTCAAATTAACTGTGCTTAAAATATCAATCTAATTTTTTTTGTTACACTTCCAATAAAAATGAGATAGTTTCATTTGTCAAAGTGTGATCTTCAACTATTTTTGTAGCAGTGTCATTTTGTTTATTGACTAATATGCTATTAAAAGTAAGATTGGACTTTATGTGGACGATACAATTTAGGAAACGATATAAATAAGGAAACGTTATAAATAAGGAAATAATACTAAGTATGAATTATTGGAAAATTTGAGTTGATGAAGATTAAACCCAATTCATTGAAAGAAAACACCATAGCAGGAGATGAATCATTTACCCACGTTGCAATTCTTACTGTTGTAAGCTCACAGACTTCCTCCAGATTTGGGTACACCCGATTGAACACAACATCTTTTCTCAATTTCCTACAATTGGGGTGGCATTCCAAATTCTTTATTCTCGCTTTTTCATACTAGTCCCTGCCCAAAACTACAACAGACTCACCACTACCCAGAACATGGTGTCACTTGTAAGGTTAAATTGAGGGTTTTGATTGAGTTTTGAAAAAATATTGAAGAACACTTTGAAGGTTTGGCGTGTTCTTGATGCATGGGGTTTACATGCACCATTCCAACCATCAACTCTATCTTTTCCCTCCTCCTTGTCAATCAAAGCATCAAGTAAAGGTAAGGGTCTTCTCACATCTTCATTAGAAGCATGCTAGGGTTTCTATTTTTAACTAATAGCATGATTCCTGAGTTAGTTTTGTATTGATGAGTAGTTTTATATATTTCAATCCATGAAATTAATGCTCCATTAAAATCCATGTTTTGAATGTATTAAGTTAAATTCCTTTTCATACTTTGTTACATGGTTAATAACTCATGATTGAACTAAGTTGAGATATCACTACGAAACCTTCAAAAGGGTTAGCGTTGCATGAATTTACAAACTTCGAGTACAATATTGTTAGCTTTCTATGAAATCAAAGTAAATCATTATTTAATTAATTTAGGATTTTCATGTCAAACATTAATAAATACATTTTATGGCATATTAGAAGACTATTAGTATAGACCATATACAATCACACTTAGAAAATGTGATAAAAAAAGAAAAAGAAAAAAAAGAAGAAGATATAATCACACTTATTTAAAAAATGAGACAAAAAATAATTATTATCACGCTCACTCAAATTAAGTGTGCTTAAAATATCAATCTAATTTTTTTTGTTATACTTCCAATAAAAATGAGATAGTTTCATTTGTCAAAATGTGATCGTTAACTTTTTTTATAGTAGTGTCATTTTGTTTATTGATTAATATGCGATTAAAAGTAAGATTGGAGTTTATGTAGACGAGACAATTTAGGAAACGTTATAAATAAGGAAATAATAATAAGTATGAAATATTGGAAAATCTGAGTTGATAAAGATTAAACACCAAATTGTTGAAAGAAAACACCATAGCAGGAGATGAATCCTTTACGCATGTTGCAATTCTTACTTTTATAAGCTCACAGGCTTCCTCCAGATTTGGCTGCACCCGATTGAACCCAACATCTTTTCTCAATTTCCTGCAATTGGGATGACATTCCAAATTCTTTATTCTCGCTTTTTCATACAAGTCCCAACCCAAAACTATAGCAGACTCACCACTACCTAGGACATGGGGTCACTTGTGAGGTTAAATAGAGGGTTTTGATTGAGTTTTGAAAGAATATTGAAGAACGCTTTGAAGGTTTGGTGTGATCTTGAGGCTTGGGGTTTACTTGGACCATTCCAATCGTCAACTCTATCTTTTCCCTCCTCCTTGTGAATCAAAGCTTCAAGTAAAGGTAAGGGTCTTCTCACATCTTCATTAGAAGCATGCTAGGGTTTCCATTTTTAATTAATAGAATGATTCGCGAGTTAGTTTTGTATTCTTGAGTAGTTTTATATATTTCAATCCATGAAATTAATGCTCCTTTAAAATCAATGTTTTGAATGTGTTAAGTTAAATTCCTATTCATACTTTGTTTCATGGTTAATAACTCAGGTTTGAACTAAGTTGAGGTATCACTATGAAACCTTCAAAAGGGTTAGTGTTGCATGATTTTATAAACTTTGAGTACAATATTGTTAGCCTTCTATGAAATCAAAATAAATGATTATTTAAGTAATTTAGGATTTTCATGTCAAACATTAAAAAATATATTTTATGGCATATTAGTAGACTATTAGTATAAACAACATACAATCACACTTACTTAGAAAATGTGATTAAAAAAAGAAGATATAATCACACTTATTTAAAAAAATGAGATTAAAATAAATATTATGACAGTCACTCAAATTAGATGTGATTAAAATATCATTCTAATTTTTTTTGTCCGCTACTACAAAAATAGATATAGATAACACTTTTTTTGTGTGATGTATGTTATTTAATCATACCTTTCAAGTTTTATTAAAGTGTGATCTTTGAGAGTGTGATTAATAATATTTAGATCACAGATTTTAAGTGTGATTAATATCTAACAAAACCTGTGATTAATAGTGATTTGAAGAATAATCCATATTATTTTAGTATGCGCATTTGAAGAATGCAATGCACATTATATACTATATTTTGAATCACAACCATATATTAAATGGAATAACGTTATATATTTCATGAATGAAAGTTAAATATGTTTAAAAGTAGATACAAATGAATTACATAAAAAGTTTTGAACTGTGTTTACATATATTAAAAAATAAAAAAGCTTGAAAAACTAATTTTTTGAAATTTTTGACCATATTTTGCACTTCTCCAAGAAATTTCTGACCTGAAAAATATAAACACAAATTAATTCAGAAACGACTAGAAGTATATGAACAAACTTACTATTTTTGTAGAGATTTTTATTGTCTTACAAAAGACAAAGTCCGACAGATCACACCACTTCAAATGTCTTAACATTAAATACCTCTAGCATGACATGAAGCATATAAAAACAAAATGTCACTTTACCCACAGAAATTGCAAGTTCAACAGAATTTTACTATAACCAACAACTTAGATTTAAGAAAATAATTTACAAACAGGGAACACGTCACACTTTTCTTCTGAGAGTTCCACTACCTAGTCTCACACACACACACACACACACACACAAAAATACTGTGTCCAAGAATGAGCCTACACTGTGTAAAATTAAAGACATATTTGATTAGTTCATTGTATTATGTTTATTTGTTTTTAGTGTCTAAAAATGGTGTTTATTAAATTCACAATTTTAACATGAGTTCAACAGGACTCTGTGCAGCTTTTAACTGATTTTCAAGAAATTTCTTTTTAAGTAAAGGACTAAACTTAAAAATAAAAAGTGGTCCTTTTCCCATGAGCAGACTGCAGGTTCGAATCTTGTCTCGCCTAATCACAAAATAAGATTAATATTCTTGTGATGCATAAATCTTAAAAAAATATAGGAAATGATTTAAGGCAAGATAATGATTTCATTATTCAGTAATTCAAAGATGTGTAATTGGCACATTAAACCAAGTAGGTGGTTCTCACATTGACAAAATTTGGTGAAGCATGCGCTCTGTGCAGTTTTTAAGGCAAGCAGGCCTCTATCATCGTGACCAACAGGTATAACTGAAGAAAAGCCCATCTCCACACTGAAAGAAAGAAGCAGTTCCACCTAGAAACACCAACTACCAACTTATCAAAAATAAAATTAAGCTGCTAAAAACGAAAACATTATGAGAGAAATGCACATAGGCAGATATGCCAGGAAGAAACCAAAGTGGGTTCCCATATGATGCGCATGACCTTTATTCCTACGATCCTTTTCAAATTCAGTTACAATCCAAGTTGAATATACAAGTTTATTCAGAAACTTACAAATATATCTGTCATTCACTTCCCTATTCCTCTACACCTATGAATCTATGATACTTAAATGAGCACGAAACACCAAAATCAAGATTCAAAATAATAATAATAAATAAATAAATAAAATAATGACACAAAACTTAACAAACACAGTCCTAAATGAGCACAAAGTACCAAAATGTAGACCCAAAATATAAGAAAAACATATGTAACTATTATTTAGAAAGATTTCACCTTTTAAAAGGAAAATGCTTCCTTAACTGGGAATCATATTCCTTTCCACCAACTAACTCCTACCACACCAAAAGCTATAAAAAAAATTAAAAAAAAGGAAAGAAAAAAAAGATAAAGAAAACTATGACAACACAAAGCTTAACTAATACATAGTTCTAAGATAGAAGAAGCCACAATTTCATAGATACAACAAATCTGGTTCCAAGAATTTGCCAAAGAAAAACCTGAAAATCACTCAAAACAAAGGCTTCATGTAATTACGTTTATGTCAGCCCAAAACAAGATATCAACAGCTTGTGATCCTCTTCCGAGAACTAATAAAGATAATAGCTCTCCAACTTCCCATTTAACAGAAATGTTTACTAGAACTCTTCATAAACTAGAATTACTTCTTGGCAAACAATCTGTCTCACACACACATAACTCATAAACATGTCCTTTATTTACTCTTTTGGAAATGTAGATCTCAGGAACTGTATTAACAACCTTATTTGTGGTTAGCAATTGTAACTTCTTCATTCTGACAAACAAGTACCCTCTTCATATATACATAAAATTGATGATGCACTCTCAATGAAATAACTAGCAAATCATACTATTCAAATTTTGCAGGAACAACGAAGATAATGGAAATTTGATATATAACCTCATTAAATATGTTTAAAAGTAGATACAAATGAATTACATAAAAAGTTTTAAACTGTGTTTACATATATTAAAAAATGAAAAAGCTTGAAAAACTAAATTTTTGAATTCTTTGACCGTATTTTGCACTTCTCCAAGAAATTTCTCACCTGAAAAATATAAACACAAATTAATTCAGAAACGACTAGAAGCATATGAACAAACGTACTATTTTTGTAGAGATTGTTATTGTCTTACAAAAGACAAAGTCCGACTGATCACACCCCTTCAAATGTCTTAACATTAAATACCTGTAGCATGACATGAAGCATATAAAAACAAAATGTCACTTTACCCACAGAAATTGCAAGTTCAACAGAATTTTACTATAACCAACAACTTAGTTATAGTAAAATTTGGACTTAATTATTTAAGAAAATAATTTACAAACAGGGAACACCTCACACTTTTCTTCAAAGAGTTCCACTACCTAGTCACACACACACACACACACACACACACACACACACAAAAAAAATAATGTGTCCAAGAATGAGCCTACACTGTGTAAAATTAAAGACATATATTTGATTAGTTCATTGTATTATGTTTATTTGTTTTTAGTGTCTAAAAATGGTGTTTATTAAATTCACAATTTTAACATGAGTTCAACAGGACTCTGTGCAGCTTTTAACTGATTGTCAAGAAATTTCTTTTTAAGTAAAGGACTAAACATAAAAATAAAAAGTGGTCCTTTTCCCATGAGCAGACTGCAGGTTTGAATCATGTCTCGTCTAATCACAAAATAAGATTAATATTCTTGTGATGCATAAATCTTAAAAAAATATAGGAAATGATTTGAGGCAAGATAATGATTTCATTATTCAGTAATTCAAAGATGTGTAATTGGCACATTAAACCAAGTAGGTGGTTCTCACATTGACAAAATTTGGTGAAGCATGCGCTCTGTGCAGTTTTTAAGGCAAGCAGGCCTCTATCATCGTGACCAACAGGTATAACTGAAGAAAAGCCCATCTCCACACTGAAAGAAAGAAGCAGTTCCACCTAGAAACACCAACTACCAACTTATCAAAAATAAAATTAAGCTGCTAAAAATGAAAACATTATGAGAGAAATGCACATAGGCAGATATGCCAGGAAGAAACCAAAGTGGGTTCCCATATGATGCGCATGACCTTTATTCCTAAGATCCTTTTCAAATTCAATTACGATCCAAGTTGAATATACAAGTTTATTTAGAAACTTATAGATATATCTATCATTCACTTCCCTATTCCTCTACACCTATGAATCTATGATACTTAAATGAGCACGAAACACCAAAATCAAGATTCAAAATAATAATAATAATAAATAAATAAATAAAATAACAACACAAAACTTAACAAACACAGTCCTAAATGAGCACAAAGTACCAAAATGCAGACCCAAAATATAAGAAAAACATATGTAACTATTATTTGGAAAGATTTCACCTTTTAAAAGGAAAATACTTCCTTAACTGGGAATCATATTCCTTTCCACCAACTAACTCCTACCACACCAAAAGCTATAAAAAAAATTAAAAAAAAAGATAAAGAAAACTATGACAACACAAAGCTTAACTAATACATAGTTCTAAGATAGAAGAAGGCACAATTTCGTAGATACAGCAAATCTGGTTCCAAGAATTTGCCAAAGAAAAACTTGAAAATCACTCAAAACAAAGACTTCATGTAATTACGTTTATGTCAGCCCAAAACAAGATATCAATAGCTTGTGATCCTCTTCCAAGAACTAATAAATATTATAGCTCTCCAACTTCTCATTTAACAGAAATGTTTACTAGACCTCTTCATAAACTAGAATTACTTCTTGGCAAACAATCTCTCTCTCACACACATAACTCATAAGTATGTCCTCTAGATAAAGAGATTGGCTGGAGAGAGAGAGAATGAAAACCTTAAAATTAGGAGCATTTCTTCTTATATCGATCACATTTCTTGTGACATATTTCTTCTTCAACTCTTTGATCTTGCTTCCATGTTCTCAACTCAGTTCTGTGGTTGAAGGTGGGCTGAAGACCAACATGGATCCAATTTGCTTGTACCTAAGCTTTTTTTTTTGGGTGCCTAAGCTATTATGGTTTAATGTTGCCCCACCCAAAACCAAATTTTTTGGCTAGTTCGCTTAGTAATGGAGGGTGAAAACAGCTGACTATTTGTAAAAAAAAAATGGTGCTCTAGTAATGTCTACACTTTTTTGTAGAAGTGAAGCTGAATCTAGCAACCATGTTCTGTTATAGTGGTCTAAAGTGTGGAAGATATGGTCTGAGCTACTAAATTGGTGGGGTTTTCAGTGGGCAACTTGCGGTAGCTGCAAAAATAACTCTACAACAGCAGCAACTAAGTGCAGCAGCAGGAAAAGCACTAAATTGGTGGGGTTTTCAATGGGAAACTCCAGATTACACAACATATATGTGTCTCAATCACACCACTATAGCAGCCATAACGGATGGTGGTAACCACTCATACAATTGCGTAACAGTTACATTGTGGCCCATTTTTAAAAATCGTGGTTTAGACGTACGGTATAACATGTAGGGTAGTATGGGATCTGAGGAGCTCAAACCTTAGTGAGAACCACAAAGAGAGAGAGGTTAGCAGCAACAAAATAAGGAGTGACTTTTCCATAAGGACAATAAGTTTACTATGCTCGACAGCATGAAGTATAAGAGCGGAGAGTGCAAGACAGATTTGTGTTAAAAGCTGTCACAAAGATAAACCAACTTTGGATCAAACACTTCTTTAAGTAACCCAAAACAAATACATAAATAGACATTTAATTCAAATGATAAATACAACACCAAAATAAAACAAAACAAAAAAATAAACATAAAAACAAGATGCATCAGCAAAATCTAACATTCAATCGAGCTTTTTGATAGAATATCCCAAAAATTGCATCTGTTTTAAGCATTAGGGCACCAACAGATCCAATCAGGATAAAGAAGAGAAAGCACCTGAGAGGGGCTTGAACTAAATCTTTTAGCAGCCATAAGAAGAGCATTTAGCAGAGCATCTTTAGTTCTCAACTACAAATAATATCCATCATTTTAGATCTGTAAAATGGTAGAAAAAATTGGAAATTTATTAATGTACACCTAAATAAACACGTGTTTACATCTGTCTGCAACATGATGTTAAAATGGGGCAAGATGAACTATTTGGTCATAGCATAAAATAATAATTCTAAATACTTTGTCATGTGTGTGTCCAGACACATCCAAAAAGAGAAACTGTATGAAAGCTTGTCAACAACTTTTGTATTAATTCCATAGACTATTTTGAATGAAGGGTGTTGAATTCATCAGCTAAAATTTTGAACTTCTTTCATGTAAGTATAAAGAAATATCTATGTTTCTCTTTATGAAAGTTCTAGCGACTACTCCACTGAGCCACCTACCAAGCATCGCTAGCATAACTCAAGATCTTTTGAGCTAAGTCTTGATTTTAGCAGATCAATAAGCCTTTAACAGACAAAATTTGCACTAGTTGGTAGCTTCGGGCAAATGAGTATTTCTAAAATATTCATTATAAGACAGACAACCAACAGTTTAGTTCAATTTGGTTCAGTTCAAATTACATTTTTTTTTTTTTTTTAGTTCATACTCAAAATTGATGACCAACCTCGGTTCAATTCTGGTTCTGTCAACAAACTCTTCCTTAGGCACCCCTCGCACTCAAAAATATAAAATAAAAATAATAGCCCCAAGGTTTTTCCCTATTAGTAAGACTCCTAAAGGCACCATCAAACATCTCCAACAAGAAATGTACCACCAAAAGCTCCTTTTCTACAACCACATAACACACAATCACATGTGGATATCAACCCCCATGCTCCTCTGGCCTTGGCTTGATATAGCTTCCTTCTTCCACAGACAAAACCCACTGCCTTTCACTTTTTGGTGGAGACTAAAGCATATCTATCTCAACCAACAACCTTGAGAAACAACCCTACATAACATTTCTTGATCTTCCACTAAGATTCAGCCTTTAATATAAAGTTAAATAAACAAATAAAATTAAAATACAATTTTCTTAGGGAAAAGAGAAGGAAAAAAAAAAAGCAAAAGAAACTACAAACATCCTTCCAGAAAATGAGAAGAGAACAACAGATGAGAGTAGATGAGAGATATACCTGGATGTCAGAGGGAGAACCAGTGGGAAGTCGCCGCCACCACTGCTATAGATAGATTGTGAGGGTAACGTGAGGCGAGAGCGAGAGTGAGAGCAAGAGCAAGAGAGAGAGAGAGAGAGAGAGAGAGTTTGTGTGTGTGTGTGTGTGTGTGTGTCTTCGTATTCTGAGGCATAACGTGGAAATTCCGTCATTTTCTCAATAACCAAATAGAACCCAACTCAGACTACTTGAGGTGAACCTAAAGGTTTAGTAACTGTAATATTAAAAAAAAAATTGAAATTTATCGGCAAACTATGATATTTTCATAGGGAAAAGATAAGGTAATTCATTATCTGCTGTTAAATTGTTTTCAATAACCTTGCATTTTCTCACTAACCAAACAGAACCACCTCAAACAAGTTTTCAAAAGAGCAAATCGACGGAGACAAAATAATTCCCCCAAATTCATCAAAAACTAGCAAAAACACAAAGGTCTCAAACAAAACCCTAACCATTAAACCAAAATGCTAATCGAAAACAAAACAGATAAACCTAACCAAATCAAAACATAGATCCAAATCGAACAGAGAACGAGTTCACCATTGATATACGAACTGAAGCTTTGCGAATACGAAGAATTACAATTAGTGAAGAACAAATCAAGAGTTAGGGCTTGATGATGATTATACAATAAAGAGTTTGAAACAGAGAGAGAGAGAGTTACTTCAGTAGCTAGGTATTCAAGTACAACGGCTATAAAAACCAAACCTCTGGTTCCGACACACTGAGCATAGCGACCCTTCTTCAAGTACTAGCCAATCCTTCCGACCGGAAACAGAAGGTAAAGAGAAGAGACCTGTGTGCTTATGAAATTCAATATTGTTGGAAATGGAAAGAGTCGTCCTCTGAATTTCAATCTTATTACATGGATTTTTTCATTATGGATCTAGTGAAGGAAGACCTTAATTGTTTGTTGAATTGGAGGATTTTCTCACTGTTATTACTCTTTTGGTTCCCTTTGGTTGGATTTGTGTGGGTGGTCTTAACAGGTCATGTTGAAACTTGGAAGTATAAAGATATGGGGAATGCAATCTTGAACCAGGCTGCAATCTGCTCCAGTTCAATGAATGGAGTGTGCTTGATAGTTGTCTTTTTTTATTTTGATGGTGCTACACATTTGGATAGGAAGTATGGAGCTGAATTTCAACTGGTTTTATGCTCATATTCTAAGGCTTCTACCTATTCCCTTGCAGGTTGTGCTTGGGGTCTTATTTTATTTTCTTAAGCTTTTGGTTTATGTATATTGGTGTATGTGGCTGCTATGGAAAAACATAACATTGATTGGCTTCTTTTGTGTGTGCTTCTGAACTGGGTTATGGAGGCAGCTAGTATGCTAGTTTTTGCTAACAGATTGTTGCTAATAGATTTGCTACCAGTATGGCACCAATATGCTAACAAATTTGTGGCTGCTTTGATAGGCTTGTTTTGTTTGTGCTAGCTAGTTATATATAGTTGGTAAATTTTGTATAGCTTTGTTAGGGCCTGGGGTATTCCCCTTGTATTCTTGTAAGTTTTCTTGTTTTATTTTATGACTTATTCACCCAAAAAAAAGTCCTCTGTCATTCATGGGTAGAACAGAGGCATGAATTTGAGAATTGTATATTTTATATAAAAATCAAATTGGAATATTTTATACAATCACACCGATTTGGAGTGTTATTAAATATATATATATATAATTACACTTATTTAAAAAGTGTGATTAAAAAGTAGTAATGTATATATAATCACACTTGTACGGGAAAGAAATAAACATTCTCGTATAATCCTGTTGACCAAGTCTACTCTCCTCCGTACGTCGTCACTTTATCACCTGAAAACACAAGCGTGAGCTAGCCGGCGGGTGTGCCGGAAACCTCTCCGATGCCTAAGTCAGTTAAACTTGACAAATAGACAAAAACTCTGTGTATTCAGAAAGCAAAGTTGTGTGTTACCTCTCCAAAGGTGATGTTTGTGAGCTTTTATAGGTTTCATGTGGCATAATCCTAGTAGGACTTCTACTCCTCTATGCAGAGTCCTCCTAGGATTCATACTCCTAAAAGATAATGCTTATCCTCCAACACCCCCCTCACTGCTTAAACCAAGTGAGATGGTTATTACCATGGCCGAATTCCCACATGACTGAAGTAATCATGGCTATGCTGAGCCACAGAGTAAGCCGTAGTACCCTTAGTTCAGTTCTTCCTTCTCCTCTTTATCTCGGTTCTCTCATGTACAAACCATGGTATGTTTTCACCGAGCTACCGAGTAGCAAGGTTCTCACCGTTCTAACCACAATACGCCATGACCAGACTAACTCTGAGACCGGCCTAATTCCAAGTTGATTCCGGACCGGAGTAACTTTAGATTCCTCTTGGGCCAGAGTAATTTTTTAACTCTCTCGGGCCGGAGTAATGTTATACCTCTCTTGGGTCGGAGTAACTTTACGGCCTTTTTACCCAGCCCTTCGTACTTTGGACCATAATGACCATCTCATAGCTCGGCCTAATTTTCACAAAAATTACCCTCTCAATTGCCCCTTAATTCCATCTGCACAGCATGATTGGAATTACCTGTTTATCAACCAATGCTGAAGTATTTAAACCTTTCCAGTCGAGCTAAAAAACCCTTTTGCCTTTCCAGCCAAGCTAAAACTCTTAAGCCTTTCAGCCGAGCTAATTTTACACCGGGCTCTGCTTGCCCGGTCAAACGTCTCTTCAATCACTACAATCTGAATCGTTTCTTATTCCAATGACACGTGGCAGGCACTGATTGACTGAGGACGGCTGTCACGCCGTCTTCGTACTTCGTGAAATTCGAACAATCCCGCCCTTTTTCCTTTACCTAAAAACGAGCCTCTTCATTTTTGCCATATTTTGCAACTTCTTCCTCTCTGTGCCTCTACTACTTTCTAACTCTTGCAACTGTGAAGCTTGCTTTACGTGTGTCTTTTGCTGTTGTTCCTTCCATCTTCAAGTCTTCTACTTCAATCTGGTAAGTAAATCCATTTTTCTTGCTCTGTTTGTTTTCGTATTTCAATCCATATTTTGTTTTGTGTGCTTTTTGCAAACACTTTTTCTGTTTTGCTTTGCTACTGTACTTTTAGGGAAAAAACTTAACAATAGAACATATGAGTACATGTAATATCCTGTAGAAAACTAGCTTTTGATCCAGAATCATGATGCAACCGAACTAGGATACTGTTTAAGTTAGGTAAAAGTATAGTTAGCTTACAACCGGATTAACACTTGTGTTTACACCAGTAGCTTTGAATAAGTCAAACCACTTCTTGATAGACCTTAGCCGAGGTAACCAACCGAACTAGGTTTGTACTTAGCATACCGAGATACCTGAACCCCAACCGATCTAGGCCTTTGGGGCCAAACCAGCTTTCTTAGTTTTTTAGATGGAACTCAGAAAGTTGCCCCTAGGTGATCAACCGGCCAAACAGAACCGTTTCCTTAACCGAGATATCTAGTCGCTTAAAGAGCCCGAACTAGCAAAGCCCTGCTCAAACCGAGCTACAAATCACCTTGCAGAAACCGAGTTAGAACCTGTAGCATCCTCATAGCCGAAGTAGGGCTCCTATTTTTCGTACTTTTATTTTGCAGCACGGTCCAATGATCTGTGCTTAACCCCTTTGTTTTCTACTTTGCAGACTTAGGTTGCCCAGGCACTCCTCTGCGCGCTCAACCGAGCTACTGAGAACAATTGTTGGACCGAACTAATTTATTTGTAATTTGTACAATAAATGGGGAAGTATAGGTATCTAGTAGACACTCCGGGCGGCCTAGCCGAATTCAGAAAAGACTACAATATACCTGACGACGTCCACCTGATTTTAGCCGAAAAGGATGTCATACCTTGGGGCAATGAAGGCTTTGTCCCCTTCACCCTTTTGTCAATTATTGAAACCGGACTACGATTTCCAGTCCAACCTTTAATTTGCGAGTTTCTTAGGCAAACTAGATTATGCCCTACCCAACTATCCACCAATTCATACCGCATAATAATGGGAATAGCCGAACTAAACCGGCAAGCCGGTCTCAACCTTGGTCTGGCCGAAATCTTTCACCAATACTCCATTGGTTCGAAGGAAGACGGCTGGGTATACTATCTCAGAATTCGCCGCCGTCGTGAGAAAATAATAAAGAATACACCGGATAAAGACCTAAACGGCGACGATTTTTTCTGGGTGTCTGGGAACTTTGAGGATCATCAAGCCCAGATTCCTGGCCGACGTATCAATTGGAAAAAAGGAGAACCTGGTATACGTACTTCGGTTTTCATGCGTGCTTTATTATATTTCGGTTTTTCAATCTTTTAGCCGAACTAACAGTTGTCTTTTTTCGCAGATTCTGCCCACCTCCATTCTTTGTATAGCTACCCAAATTTATCGACTTTGCGCGCCGCACTACGGTATCCAGAACATAGTTGGGCTAAGCTACTAAAATTCGAGCTGACCTACAGATACAGCGGCCGCCGAAAAGCGAGAGTGACCGACTTTCTGCTAGAGGAGACCCCAAAACCGGACCCAACCTTACCAGAAATCAGACTAATCCCACTAACTGCTGAAGAGGAAATGGCTAAAAAGAACAGAGTAAGGGCGCTTCTAACCGAAACTAATAGACCCGAAGTATCGCCACCAAGTCAAACGCAGCCTGCCGTTGTGGCCCTCCCTTCTCAACAGCCTTCTTCATCACGCCCCTCTAAGCGCGCCCGATCTACCCCGACCGAACAACAACTTGTGGATGAGGACGAATCCATCCCTCCACAAATTCCACAGCCCATCCTTCAACCGGAGCAATCTGACCGAGCTGACTCCTCCAAATAGGCTCCAATTCTCACCTTTCAAGACCAAAATATCCAGGAGACTGACTCGGTCGTTGCTGAGAAGGATCACTTGATGGCTTTCAATCTAACCAAGAGTGTTTTCCTTCCGAAAGATATGGAGCACCACAACAAGCAACTAAACACCGAGCTGAAGGCCATCCGGTCATCTACAAAATCAATGATCCTGGTAAGTGGCTCTCCCTTTTCTGTCTAGTTTTTCCCAACTGTCAGTCCGGCTGAAGAGGGTTACTATTCTTTTTCAGGCCATTCAGAAGAACAATATTGCACATAAAAAAGTGTTGGAGCTCCGCAAGACAACAAGGCATGCCATGGCAGATGCCGAGGCAAAGACCGCCGAACTTGAGAATGCCAAGAAGTAGCTAGCCGAGCTATAGTTCGAGAATGGTCGCTTGACCGGACTTGTTAGCTCGGCTGAAGCTGAAAAACAAAAAATTGCAGTGACGGTGAAGGATAAATACTTGCGCGAGTTGGCCAAACTCGAAGGCAAAAAAGACGCCGAAATAGCCGACTGAAGAAGAAGATTGGTGATGCCAATGCCCAAGGTTTCAAAGAGGCGGAGGGCCTCTACATTCCGTAGTGCGAGGGGGCAAAGGACTTATTCTTCAAGTGTGGCTGGAGGAGTGCTGTGGAACCGCTCGGCTGTGGGCTTGAAACCGAGGTCTACAATGCTCCACAGTACTTCATTCCAGCCTCACTAGCGGAATATGCTGCTTCGGTCCAAGAACAATTTCTGCAGGATTCAGATGATGAAGATGATGAAAACGAATAAACTGTTACTCCGGTAGTCAACGAGCAAGTCAACGATCAATCAGCTCGGTTGGAGGCAACGGTTGAAGACCTGACTGTTGAGCCATCGACTGATATCGTTCTGCAAGTTGCTACTGAGACGGATCTTCCATCTGCAACCGGCGTTCAAGTTGACATTGACGCCGAAATTGAAGACCTTTTCTCTTGATTTTGTACTCTTTTTTTTTTTGTTACTTCTTTACTCTTGTAACCGGGCTATGGCCCCTCCTTTGTATTTGCTTTCTGATGAATGAAAATTTTCTTGAACTCTTACTTCGGTTGATCTGTATGTTTGTACTTCCATGATCTTTTCACTTGTAACTATTATCTCGGTTTTAGCTGGTCAAACTAGCTATGCTTACTAGCCAACCACTCTTCAGCCATACCCTTACTTCGGCTGAAGAGTACAAAGAGTTGGTTTAATCCAGTCAACCATTCTTTAGCCATACCCATACTTCGGCTGAAGAGTACAAAGAGTTGGTTTAATCCAGCCAACCACTCTTCAGCCATACCCTTACTTCGGCTGAAGAGTACAAAGAGTTGGTTTAATCCAGCCAACCTCTAAGTTAGTTTTTCCAGCCAACTTAGAATAATGTTTGGTTATTCCGGCCAAACATCCTGCAGCCTGGATCGTTATCCTGGGCTTAGGAAGGGTGTTGGTTTAATCCAGCCAACCTCTAAGTTAGTTTTTCCAGTCAACTTAGAATAATGTTTGGTTATTCCGACCAAACGTCCTGCAACCTTATCTTGGACTTAGGAAGGGTGTTGGTTGAATCCAGCCAACCTCTAAGTTAGTTTTTTCCAGCTAACTTAGAATAAAATGTTTGCAATATTCCTAACTTCACTAAAGCTAACTTTTACCGAGAATAACTCATGCTGAAAAGAATCGATTGTTTT